CACATATAAGGTAATTTTTGTGCAGAGTAATCTTGTCTTGCGCGTGTCCGTTACTGGAGCAATCGAGTTCAACTAAATAAATTGTATGATAACAGCAATTCCTCAAGTGAGTTTCATAAGAACAAGTAAAGAACGAGATAATTTAAAGCGACAGTGGTCTTAGCCTATCTCGAATGAACAGTGCTGTCCACGAAGAGGGCTCGCTTTGGGGCATAAGTCAATTCCGGCAACTTATCTTGAAAGTTATTTTCTGTCTTTGGAAAGGCGAATTGAAGGATGGAGAAGGCCTTAGCATTATTCTGTTTGTCTTTGAGCAATGAGTTTTCTAAAAATTAAATCAAATAAAAGAAATATATGTTTTTTACTTTTAAAACTATAAAAACTAAAAGTTATAAAAATTAAATTGAAAAAAGAAAAAATTATCTAAAAAGGAAATTCGTTTCTAAAGGTTAAGTGAAATAAACAAAAAAACATATTTCCTTTCAAACAACAAATTCAAAGAAAAGTCACATGCAATTCACCGAGGTATGGATAAACTTTCTTTTAATACTGAGTCAACATTAACATCCAAATTGCGAATATGCAAATATGACATGAATAGCCTATTGTATGCTCGTTCTCTGTCCATGCCTGCACATTAGGCTGCGCCTTAGTTGTATGGAGAAAATTTGTGGTTAAGCTACAAAGCAGCACTGTCGCTGGAAATGTTCCTTTGCTCATAAAAACGTGCCCTGCGAAAAGCTTGAAGAATCGGACAACGGAAATACGTAAAATTACAATTTTCTAGGAACTCAGAAGTTAAATTTTAGCCAAGTAAATTTATATCAAATTGATACGAAGGAAGATAATTTTTCCCCCACTCTAATGTATATAAATATGTTTGTTCATTTATTGACGAGTGTCGAAAGCGAACGGTGTGTTATTTTGCATTTAAGTATTTAAGTAAAGATACTGATAATGAAAATATAATTGAAATCATAAAGCGTCAGGTTATCACGGCGGTTCGAAGCCATCTTCAGAGGGCAGTTGCTGCGTTATCTGCTGGTCAGTGTTGTTCTTCTTGGAAATTGTACTCGAAAGAGAAATTTCAGACTTCAAGCCCATATTTATCACACTGAGACTTTAAGTAATGCAATACCTTTTAACAAATCAGTAGTTATATTTTCCGTTATTTTCACCTGATTTTTTTTTCAAGTTTATGTTCTGGGCTTGCTCCATGAGTTTCTCTTAGAGTGAAAATCTCATAAGTGGGCCGCCCAAAATTGGACAGTCAAGATTTTTTCGTACAAATCCCTTTATGCGGTTTACAACCATAAAAATAAAATATATAATTTAAGCAATTTTGCAAAATTCGAAGTTTTACAAAAGTTATTGTTATTAACTTTTTTTTTGATGAATTCAGTAATTATTTATTATCCACTGATTCATAGCATGTATCTTGCTGATTTTTCATGGTAATAGGTAATTAGACATGCTGATTGATTAAATTTTTCAAATAATTATTATTTGTACAAAAATTTTTAATTTTTATAAACAACTTTTATAAACAAGTGGAAGTATTTATTACTTCTCGATCGGATTTTTTAATCCCGGGATTTTCGGGATTTTTAAATTGCACTGATGGCAATAATAGAAACTCCTTTTCTTCACCAATATCGGCTATATTTCTTTTTTATTTAATAATATTTTTTTTTTATAAATGTCTGGCTCATTGTAGATATAACACCGCGCGATAGTAAATTTTAAACACAAATATCAATACATTCGCGAAACCATGGGCCCAAATATAGTAATTTTGCATTTTTGGTTATTCACTCTGACGTCAGTAATTCAAAATTGATTTCAAAAATTCAGAGAAATACGCTTACAGAAAAAGTATGGGTATCAAATTAAAGAGGAAATTCTGTAGAATTTAAACAGATTCAAGTTTTTGGTGCAGAAGGACTGGTGAGTATTGAAAATTTCCTTTTAAAATTTTATGCTTGCAATTTCACAATATTTGTTTTTGAAAAAATTTATGTTATGGACTTATATAAACTCGATAATATCCTGGAATTTTGTCTTTCTAACTTTATCAGCTTAAAAAATTATCTAACTATTCGTTCTTGTGAATCCAAAAAATTTTAATTATTTTAAAATCTAAAGAAATTTCCTCTTATATTTGGTACCCATATTTTTATTCTAGGTTGCATTGAATTTTTAAATAACTTTCGGAATTAATCATATCTTTGAAATTAGAAAGTCCTTTAAAATAAATCCTGACGTCAGAGAGAAAAAATAAAAACGCCACTTTAAATAAAAAAAGTAGTTTTCAAACCCATTTATTTATTATTTATTTTATGCTAGGAGAGCTTCTCAAACAATATAGAAGCAATTTTTTCGATTTAAGTTGTTGACAAGTTATGAATATCCAAATCCCGGGACTAATCCCAGGACACTACACTTGATAAGGCATTGTAACCTATGCTCAGAAGGCTGATCCCGCGGTAGTAGGCGCGAATGGCGGGCCGCCTTTCTTGTGGACATCGACTCCATCGCAATTGACTGGGGGCTCGTGCTGGGAGGGCGGAGAAGTGTTCCCTTCATAATTTGAGTAGATTCTGGACATCGGTCTCTAGGTCGCCATGGTTCTTACAGCAGATTGCCCTGGTCTGAAAACCTTCCGTAAGTCGCCTAACTCTCTCATAAAATTTTCGGGCGTTTTTCCAGTCATCCAGCACTTCAAACTCTTCGTACTCACGTATTGCGGCAAATCGTCTCGCTTCCCACTTCAGTTCGCTATAACAGTCCCATATGGCTCGCGTTGCGCCCGAACTCTTGCGGACTCAAGGTATGCGCATATTCTCAGTGGACAGATTACACTTGTCCAGCCCTGCAGAGAAATGATAGGTAGCCCGGAAATTGAAGCCCATTATTCCTCCTCAGAGGATGTCGGGAAGTTTAGTTATTTTGAATGAACCATTTAATTGAAGTTCGTGCACCTTAGTGAACCAGTTTATAGTTCAACAAGTGAATTTAGTTCACTAGTCAAATAGTCAATAACAATTAGTCAATAACAACTTTCGACATTGTAATATAATAAATGATAAATATGGGAGACGGTGTTATTATTTTCTTCCATACAAAAAAAAAAATGTCGAATAAATTTACTTTGTATGGAACGAACTGCCAGAAAAAATTGCTAAAAATAAACCAATTTTCAAGCAACTTCAAACTTGCACTTCGTTAAACTAAACTGGACTTTACAATTGCATACTTACATAGAATTTTTCTAAAAAATTTAAATAAAAAGTTGCAAATTGGTAATTAAATTTATTGAAATTTTTTGAGTTTTCACAAAGTTTATAGATTTTAATCTTATGTTTTTGTTATAAACTATATTTTTATAAAAAATTATCTAAAAGAAATAAGAATAAGAACCGAAAAAATTTCCATATATTGCGAAAAATTCTCTGTGCCAATACCTTTGCTCCTGGTCGGGTATCACGCTAATACTTAATAGTTTACATCAGTGAATTTAAATTTTAACGGAATTTGTGGTGCATTTAGCAAATGGTTCGCAAAAGGCTTTTCCGAATGATAATTAAACTCGCTTTCGAAGTGACGAACCACATTGCCCAGCGACATTTCTAACTCCAATTCAACAATACGCTTGCCCACACAGCTGCGCGGTCCATAACCGAATGGTAAAAAGATAAATTTGCTCAAATTATCAGCAATTAGTTTTTCGTCTCCACCTATCATATCATCCTGCTGTCGTAGCCAACGCTCGGGTAGAAACTCCCGTGAGCGGGGGAAAAATTTTTCTTCATTTAGCAAAAGATTGGAGTTTATAAACACGCGCGTACCTTTTGGTACCCGATAACCGCTTAGCGCCAAGTCAGCGCCAGTTTCACGCATATTTCCAAACGAAATCGGATAGGTGCGCAACGATTCCTTGATGCAAGCGCGCAGATATGGCAAATGTTTCATATTTTCAATGGTGAAGTGATCATCTCTGTGTGGCAGCACCTGCAACAGTTCTTCGCGTAATTTTTGCTGTTTTTCTGGATTTTTAGCAATGCACAGCAACACGGCTGACAGCGCAGAGGATGTCTGTGGTATTTCAAAAAAAAAAAAAAAAATGCACATTAAATTTCGTTGCTTGTGTAAACGTTACCTTTCCCAACACTTACCGTATCCACACCAGCCATTAACATATCCATTGCCATAATAATGGCAATTTTGCGATCGATTTTTATAAGTTTCTCCAGCACACTGCGTTCCTCGCCTTCCTTGCAAGGGTTCTGTTCCATGCGTGCTATGGCCTCATTGGCATACCGATTTGTCAGATCAAATATTGTATCACTTATTTTTTCAAAGCGCCGGTAAGTGGGCGTTCTTATGTATTTGTACAGTGATGGCTTTATACCTAAATCATAAAGGCATTTAATGAAAGCAGTTAAATTGTCGAAGAGTTGTCTGGCTTCCATCGAGTCGGGATTTTTGCGAATCAAACCGAACTCGTGATCCAATGCAACCACTGCCACTGATTCGAAGGTGAAACGATTGATGTCGTTCAAGAAGTTGTCGGGTACTTCAAGTGTTAGCGGATCCCGTATGTCTCGAATTCTGCAAAGAGTAAGAAGTTTTCTATTAAAATAATACAATATATTTTGCTTATCTGCCCATCCTTCTTTGCGCGAAAAACTTGTGTGCTTAACCGAAAAAAGTACTTAAGCGATTTTTTTTTTATGCTACTTCAATGAGGAAGGTACCTGAATTCCTATGAAACAATTACTGCAGCCAAATTTTTATAGGATGGTATCTAATTATTTATATAGCTAAATATACAATTTTTTCCAAGAAACCCGATGGTTTTTGCATGTTTTTTTTTCGAAGAACCCTATTTTTTTATTTTTTTTAAAGTCGAGGAGTAATTATGGCTGAATGGCAATATTTTTCGGTGTAAGGGAATTTCATTAGCTTTCAATTCCCCTTTAAATAGGTTGTCTCTATCGAAAGCGCTACGATTAATTCGCGCCGACGTTTTGTTTTAATTACCTTTGTATGAATTCCAGATTCAACTTTTGCATTGGTTCCAAGTAGAGTTTAGCATTTTTCGGATGCATTAATACAGGATTTACAGCATGTCGAAATTTACCCCAATCCTCGCCACTATTCATGAAAGAAAGTTAAAAAATAATAACGGATGAATTATTTTACAAATACGGGTACATATGCAATAACAAATTTTCTTAAATTTTTCGTACTTACTGCGCTGCCAAGCCAATCGTTTCGTTGAAAAATCCATCCTTTCGCGTTCGTCGATAATGTATTACCATTTCACCGCTTGGTCGCGCTGGCCAAGAGCCCTCAGTGCGAAACACTTTCTCAAAATCCTCAAAATTAAAGAGTACGAGTGAAACTGGTTGCCCAAAAATGCCAGGAATGCGATAAATGTCACCGAAACGTTCGCGACACTTCAAAAATAATTCATTCAAAGATAAATTTGCCAATTTGCCTTTAGAGGAAAATAGAGAAATGCATATACATATTTATTATATGCATATTAATTAGTTTTTCGACCTACAGCAATTGTAGAATGCAATGGAAAACTTTGAACTCACCGCCCTTCATGAAGCCGCGCACCATTTCGTATCTGCTGAGGCCGGGTATGGCTTTATACGGTAGCGCTTTTTGCCATTCCTCATCCAAGAATTTTACAAATGATTTACTATCGTAATTTTGAGGCTAATAAAAATTAAGTTTAGTGCATTTTTTTCTAAATAAATAAATAAATATATCGTGCCCCGTATGCCAGAGGCATGAATATGCAAATTTAAAAATTTTGAGTTATTGCGTCGACTGGATTAACCTTTGGATGCTCTAGTATTTATGTTAAATCAAAACCCAAAATACCAGGCCTTCACGGAAAGCACATATTTTAAAATAGGGGTTTTCACGGAGTCTTGTAACAGTGATCTGTTAAAAATATCTAAAAATTTATCGTACAAAATTCCCAAAAAAATAAATATAAATATAAAAATTAAAGCACATTTTCAATACTTATTCGTCTTGGTGCACCCAAAAATTATTATTTTTTCTATTCTACAGAATTTTTCCTTTTAATTGATACCCATATTGTTATTCTACAATGCATCCTTTGCAAAGTCCTTTTAAAAAAATCCTGACGTCAGAGAGAAAAACTAAAAACGTAGTTTTACTATATTTGGCCTCCGATTTTGTGAATATATTGAATTTTTCGTGTGTAAAATTGACTGTCCCCGGTGATACATCTATATCATTCTCCACATCACACCTTCAGGACGATTAATTACGTAAGAGTGTCGACTATTTTTGGAAATTTGATCAATTATGCATCGAAACCTGTGTCAAAAGGAGATCCATTTTTTATTTGAAATATCCCTTTTTCCCTTCTAATAATTTTTGTTGCAAAATATCCCTCAAATAGAGAAATTACCCACAATCTGGCATCACTTGTTTGGAAAAAACTTTTAAACATGATTTCCCAACATTTTCATTTTTACACCATTTATGTTATGGCCACGGTTGCAATGCATGCATATTCTGACGAACTTTTGTTCTGACGCCAAAAAACTACGTTTTAGTTTGTTTCGTATTTTTTTGTTCCATAAAATCGTCAGAAAAAAAGTTCGTCAGAATACGCATGCACAGTAACCGTAGCCTAAGGGGGACGATATGGAAAATTTTATCGAGTATAAACCAAGTCTTGTAAAATTGGCCACAAAGAAAAATACATATATAGTACATTAGGAAAACGTAATTGCTTTACCTTGGCATTGACTGCTGTCGATTGAAATGCAAATTGCGTTCGTGTTAGCTTTTGTTGTTGTTCTCGGACACTGATCCATTTCCAAGCTATACTGGCATTGCGTACGCTACGAACTGATAACATTTTCAAATTCAACTACTAAGTACTTACTAATAGAAACGTATGTAGGTGCGTATGTTTGTTTATATTTGCATATATGACTCAGCAAAATCCAAAAACGAAAAGAAATCAAAACGACAAAACAAAAATAATAATAAAAAAAAAACACATATAAGGTAATTTTTGTGCAGAGTAATCTTGTCTTGCGCGTGTCCGTTACTGGAGCAATCGAGTTCAACTAAATAAATTGTATGATAACAGCAATTCCTCAAGTGAGTTTCATAAGAACAAGTAAAGAACGAGATAATTTAAAGCGACAGTGGTCTTAGCCTATCTCGAATGAACAGTGCTGTCCACGAAGAGGGCTCGCTTTGGGGCATAAGTCAATTCCGGCAACTTATCTTGAAAGTTATTTTCTGTCTTTGGAAAGGCGAATTGAAGGATGGAGAAGGCCTTAGCATTATTCTGTTTGTCTTTGAGCAATGAGTTTTCTAAAAATTAAATCAAATAAAAGAAATATATGTTTTTTACTTTTAAAACTATAAAAACTAAAAGTTATAAAAATTAAATTGAAAAAAGAAAAAATTATCTAAAAAGGAAATTCGTTTCTAAAGGTTAAGTGAAATAAACAAAAAAACATATTTCCTTTCAAACAACAAATTCAAAGAAAAGTCACATGCAATTCACCGAGGTATGGATAAACTTTCTTTTAATACTGAGTCAACATTAACATCCAAATTGCGAATATGCAAATATGACATGAATAGCCTATTGTATGCTCGTTCTCTGTCCATGCCTGCACATTAGGCTGCGCCTTAGTTGTATGGAGAAAATTTGTGGTTAAGCTACAAAGCAGCACTGTCGCTGGAAATGTTCCTTTGCTCATAAAAACGTGCCCTGCGAAAAGCTTGAAGAATCGGACAACGGAAATACGTAAAATTACAATTTTCTAGGAACTCAGAAGTTAAATTTTAGCCAAGTAAATTTATATCAAATTGATACGAAGGAAGATAATTTTTCCCCCACTCTAATGTATATAAATATGTTTGTTCATTTATTGACGAGTGTCGAAAGCGAACGGTGTGTTATTTTGCATTTAAGTATTTAAGTAAAGATACTGATAATGAAAATATAATTGAAATCATAAAGCGTCAGGTTATCACGGCGGTTCGAAGCCATCTTCAGAGGGCAGTTGCTGCGTTATCTGCTGGTCAGTGTTGTTCTTCTTGGAAATTGTACTCGAAAGAGAAATTTCAGACTTCAAGCCCATATTTATCACACTGAGACTTTAAGTAATGCAATACCTTTTAACAAATCAGTAGTTATATTTTCCGTTATTTTCACCTGATTTTTTTTTCAAGTTTATGTTCTGGGCTTGCTCCATGAGTTTCTCTTAGAGTGAAAATCTCATAAGTGGGCCGCCCAAAATTGGACAGTCAAGATTTTTTCGTACAAATCCCTTTATGCGGTTTACAACCATAAAAATAAAATATATAATTTAAGCAATTTTGCAAAATTCGAAGTTTTACAAAAGTTATTGTTATTAACTTTTTTTTTGATGAATTCAGTAATTATTTATTATCCACTGATTCA